TGGGACTGGGGAGAGAACGCCTGGCCTTTGAAATAGAAGGGCGGTCACTCCCCGCCACCTCTTCCCTCCGGAGAGGAAGCTGGGACTCCCCAGGGAAGGCCCAGCGCTGAGAGGATTTACTCGCAAACAGGTTTTCACCGTTCCCCTGTTCCCAAAGGCACATTCAAGGATTTCTTCATTTGTCCCGGGCCAAGGTGGTATCCCTCCCCTGACACACATCGATGTTCTGCGTTGGAAAGGCGCTTGGGCGCCTGCAGGGGCAGGCAGGCCCTTGACAGAGACCAGAGCCAGGCTGTACCCCCTCACCCCCACCCCGGTGAGCCACTCTGGGAGACTGGTAGGCTTCATTTTCTTTCACGGGATACCCGGAGCTTACAATAAGTGGGGAAAGTGGTAAAGCCTCTTACCCTTTCTTCCCGGCTCCCCAACCATTCAGGGGATCCCGAAGGCATATTCCTGGGAAGTCTACCACCAGCTTCTCTAAAGCAGCCAGCTCTTGGACTTTCAGCTATAAACATAAAAACAAAAATCCCATTTCAGACTCCAGGACAAGGCATTCTGGCTGCAGCTACACCAACTCACCAAGATCCTATTTTCATGGTTTTTTTTCTTCCTCTCCTATTTACCATTTACCAGCTCATCTGTAAGGAATATGAAGCCTCACTTCCTGGAGGACTGTAGTTCAGGGTCTAATTGATTCTGGTAATTAATTTGTTCTACCTGCTAGATCAGCTGGAAATCCTACCCCAAGTGCCCAAGGATTAGCACTTGGCTTTCTAACACCGTCTCTAATTATCTAATAGCATGGGTTGGGAGGACTCAGTTTCTATTAAAATACTTTTACTATTAGCAGTAGTGATTGGAATTGTGATGATGACTAGATTTCAACAAATTAGAGCTTAAAAATGGGGAGATGGAAGAGAAGTGGCTTCTTTTAATTTCCCTGAGTTTAACATCAATAATTAGAGCAATTTTCAGAGATGCGAGCCAAAATTACCCTGCTGTGCTGCGCATGATCCCTTTAATTTTAGCAAATTGACTCCAGGGAGATAAATATGACAGATTAGAAAAAGAGAAACAGAAAAAACAAAAACCATAAGCTCTGGAGGAGGGCAATGGGAGACACAAGGATGGTAGAATGTACCAGGGCCCAAATCCTAGCACAATTATTTTCGGGCACTTGGTTTAATGGGAGTAATGTAGAAGAAATAGAAAACTGCCAAGGACGTGATAGAGGAAAATGTGGAAATTTGAAGGGAAGTGAGGGTGGCCCTAAGAGGTGGATATTTACACACATAAGATTACTTGATTGATATAGAGATATGTAGGAATAGCCCTTCCCACACCACACCATGCAACCAAGTAAAGGTTTTGATTGGCAGGGTCTTTCTTTCTTTCTTTCCCTCAGTAGCCCCTTAATCAGTATTGTTCGCTGGGTCTCTTACATGAGGACTTCCTTTACTCTCACTTTTCCCCTCCCGCCTTGCTGACTTGTCTGAAACATGCTTCCTTTCTCTAAACTGTTAAAACTCAGACCGAAACGCCCGATTAAGTGCTGTATCCCTTTTGCTTTGGGGCTCATTTAATGCCTTCTGCTCTCTAAAGAGGAGTTTGTTGTAGTCAGAGGGATTTCCGCTGTTAGCTTTCTTGTAAATATCTGGAGGTAAAGCTTCAGCAGGGTCGGAACTGATAATAAGGTCGAAAATTCGGGTGGGAACAGGACTCCACTCCACTTTCCAGTGGTCTGACCAGAAGTATTCAGCACCAAGGACAGGGCCCCGCCCCGCTCGGAGCCCACCTCACCCTCCTTTCCGCTGCTGGCAGGCTTGCCATTGGCTCTCCCGACTCCCCTTTTCAAGCTGCCAATTCTCCTACACAGAGACCCACCCTACCCAGTAGCACGTCTTCTCGCCTCTCTAGCGCCCTGGGTAGCCCAGGCCCGGGAGAGACCGCCGTGATTAGAGCCTCGGAGGGTGTTTGCCGGCTCTCCTCCAGGCTAGCTGAGACGCTGCTCGCTTCTCACGCTACGTCCCCGTCCTCTTCCTCAACAGTAGGTGCTCAATCGGCTCAGGATGAATCTCAACTTCACCTCCCCGCTACATCCAGCGTCTTCTCAAAGGCCCACATCCTTCTTCATTGAGGACATCCTGCTGCACAAGCCCAAGCCGCTGAGAGAGGTGGCTCCCGAGCATTTTGCTAGCTCGCTGGCCTCCCGGGTACCTCTGCTAGACTATGGTTACCCTCTCATGCCTACACCCACCCTCCTGGCTCCTCACCCCCATCATCCTCTTCACAAGGGGGACCACCATCATCCTTATTTTCTCACCAGCTCGGGTAAGTAACAGGGGCCTCTTGGAACAGATATTGGAATAGCAGGTCTTTCAGGGCAGCCCCTAAGCCTGTGAAGGGGCCTAGGAGGCCTGAGCCACTTGGTCTGGCCAGGCAGCCTCGTTCCTAAACGCTGGTCCCAAAGGGTGGGATCAGGCAGACGGCAAGCGGGGCTCCTTTGAAGAATGCTAGTCAGGAGCATGGGTGGTCACTCTGAACTTTTTACAAGGAAGGAGAGGTGCCTGACCAAGAGACAGCTAATGATATCCCTTATTCTTCCTGAGCAGTGCTCAGTCTCCTTCAAAGTGGTCCCCTCCTCCTGGAGATCTGGGCCACTCTAGTCCATGTCCATTTAGCAATCCCAGCTCTTCGCCTCTCCTCCGCATTGGAGGTGAGAACCTTTTCAGTGGAACGCATCTCAACTTCCCAGCTCAGGGCGCCGGATTCTACTCCCAGCCACTGCGCAGTTGCTGATCAGGGGGGCGTTTAGACTTGAACAAGTGACTGGGATGCTCCCAGGGAGGATGCATATGGGGACTGGCCCATACAAGGAGGGGAAGGGTCAGGAAAACCGTGAGGGACACAGCTCCTCTGACCATCTTCAGTCCCAACCTGCAAGTCTAGCATTTACCTTTGAATCCCTCCTTTCTCAAGTTGCCAGCGTCGCTGGAGCTAGGGCCCCGGGCATATTTTCATGTCCTGGACAGAGAAAGGGGCAGGGGGCTGCAGAGTTCGTTTTGCACCAAGAAATGTGGAGAACATCCAGATGGTTTTGTCTCTCTCCTAAGTTACTTCTTTGCTGGCATTTTAGTCCGTCTATAGAACAATCAACGGAGTCTAGATTCGAAGTGTCTTGATCCCGGCAGGAGCTGAGGAAAGGCTTGAGGGGAATCCAAGGCAAAAGCTCAAAGTGTTTTCGGGAAGCGGTAAAACCCAGACTCTGGTGTTTGCTTCAGCAGCACACATACTAAAATAAAGCCCAGACCTCGGGCAGTGAATTGGGTCGAGTTTGGCCTCTCCGTATTTGCCCAATCACTCAGCTCGCTAGCCTCCTCACGGTTGCACCTGTGTCTCCCTGCAAATAACCGTGATGCGCTCACCGCCCCTAAGCAGCTCTGAGAGGTCTGCTAGCTTGTACGTGTGCGCGCGGTTAGGTTGGGTTCCGGGACCGGAATGAAAGCCTCCCTCCGCTTTGCTCCGCGCACCTTCACCAAAGAGTCAAACATTCAACTCTTGCTTACTCAGTCAGGGAGAAAGCACGCCCACCTTTCTGCTTCATTGGGCTTGGAGTTGGAAGGGAGAAAGGAGAGAGAAAGGGACCCAATTAAACGTGCGTGTCCTTGGCGCGACCCCGAAATTGATCGGGAAACGCGCTAGGCACGAGTCGCCGGAAGTTCCAGCCCCGGAGCCGCTTCGGAGTAAAACGCTGTGCTGTATGGCCTCCGCCGATCGGTTGGCCAAAGAACGACGTGTTTGGGGAAGGTGGAAGGCTAGATCACACCCAGAACCAACGCTGAGTATCCCCAGGGGGTTGAAAGGGACGTGGGAAGTTTGCAAAACTTCACCAGGCGCCGAGACGTCTCAGCGCAGTCCGAAGCTGAGAAAGTCTGAGCAGGTAGTTGTTTAGGCCTCTGGATCCATTTCAAACGTTCTTTTCCGTTTTACGCACTGTTTGTTTTACTAGATGGCTTTCCTGTTAAAGATCTCCCAGAGCTGTTCTTACAGCTGCTTTATTTTTGCCTTGCTGGGGTTCTGGGGGCAGGGTTACGAGAGCTTTGGGGGCGAGGGGCGGAAGGGGCTGGGGTCGGGTGGATGAGCGGGCGGCGCGGGCGGGCTGTGGCGTCTGACTGCTCGGGGACTCTCGCCTCCGCAGGGGTGCCCGTCCCAGCGCTGTTCCCGCACCCCCCGCACGCCGAGCTGCCGGGGAAGCACTGCCGCCGCCGCAAAGCTCGCACGGTTTTCTCCGACTCGCAGCTGTCGGGCTTGGAGAAGAGGTTTGAGATCCAGCGCTACTTGTCCACCCCGGAGCGGGTGGAGTTGGCCACGGCCCTCAGTCTGTCCGAGACT